GTGGCGCGCAGCAGCTTCCGCTGCGACTGCTGCTCCACTGCCTGCTAAAATATCCAGGGTAGTGGGAGATCCCACTGCTTGAGCCCCTGTTCCGGCTCGATCTTCGGTTTCCGAAGGGGTCGACGCCGTAGTGACTCTTGTCACTTTTGCACCGCCCGCTTCTGCTGCCTGTCCTTCCGGCGCAATCTGCGCGGAAGGTGTCTTCGCTGAAGGTGCGTCTGCACACTGGTCATCGGCCCCATCCGTCTCGCAGTCGGCGAATCCGGCCGACTCTCTGTTGTCCGACTCGCAGTCGGCCGACCAACAGTTGTCCGACTGGGAGTCGGATACACCCTGCGCGTCTTGACTCCACTTGGCCTGCTTGCTGGTGGCGTTTTCCCAGAAGTGCCTTCCGCCGAAGACGACCCTCTGAGGGTTGTTGGCTCGTCAGCCAAACTCTCTTCTGCTTCCGGCCTGCTGTCCGGTTCAACGCGCCGTTCAGTTGGCCTTCCTTCCGCTTGTCGGCCTTCAGTCATCCGACTCGCAGTCGGCTGACTGTCAGTCCGTCCATCTCCTCCCGAAGGCCGTGGTGCCTTCTGTGCAGAGGTATCTGTCGTCTTTCCTAGAATCTGCGCGATTATCTCCTCCTGTGTGAGATTCCGCCGGGTCGGAGTTCGCCCGGTCTCCTCAGTACCAGTTGGCATTTTGCGTGCCCTCTGTTTTGGTCGACTGTGAGGCTCGGGGGTGGGCCGACCACGAGTCGGCGCAGCTGGCACTTCCGGCTGCCTGTCCTCAGGTCTCTCATCCCACTTCCGCTTTCGCGGAATGCGCTCACTTCGACGTTCTTCTGCTGCTCTTGCTGGAGCCGGAGCCGGAGGCGTACTGGCAGGTTCCTCGTCCGGATCCGTGTCTACTTCGGCCTCCCTCGAATACCTACCTGGATAGTTCCGGGTCAGCTGCGGAAACCGTGTTTTCTCAGCATTTGTCAAACATCCCATCGCCCGATAAAACACGATCAAGTAAGGCGAGAGATGATTGAGGGTTCCTCCTTTCTCTTCTTGCGCATGTTGGCGCGTCACCTTCCACAGGAGCCGTGCCCAATGCACTGGAGCTCCTGACAACACTAGCTCCACAAATTCTACCTGCCAACCATGCATGTAAGCGGTCTTGGTAAGCTGCAATATCTGCAGCAATGCAGTCGCGACATTTCTCCGCAATCGATCTTTGTAATCCCGTGTCCGGAAACCGTTCTTGGGATGCCTGGCAACTTTGAAGAGCTCATTGTAGGAGACTTCTTCCTCCTGGGACACCTTCACGCTATCGGCCTCGAAGAGGAGATCCCCTTCCTCGTCGGCACACCTGCCCAACACCTGCGCCCAGTTGCAAATGTCCCATCTTTCTGGATGTGGACGGAATCCGCGAGAGGGCTTGTGTCTCTCCTGCAGATACTTGCGCACCATCTCCGAACATGTCCAGTTCCACCCCCACAGGAGAAAATCGAGCTTCAGCCTCAGCAGCACATCTTGAAATGCGCGTAGACCGATCTGCGGCACCCTGAGTGGAGACACTCGCAGCTGGGGAACCTTCGACATTGCGTTGCCTGCACACACAAACGTTCTCCCTTTCGCTCGCTCTCTCACAATCGCCACTGCGCGTCGGCCGCTCAAGCACTGACTGCTCACTCTCTCTGCGCTCAAGCTCAAGATCGCTACTCGCAATTCTCTCCAAGGTCTGCCAAGATCCTTGCGCAACTCGTCTCCGCACTCTCTCCTCTCACTGCAGGTCGCTCCGCTCTTGTGCGTAATCTTGGAAACTGGAAATCGCAAAATCAAGAATGAGAGAATGAGACTGGAGCGCAGTCTTTTCTTCTCCGATTTCAAGAACGTCCAACGTTCTTACTGGTTACAACGTACGCATCCGGCTATACGGCCTAACGGTTCGCCCTTTGCATGCGCGAATTCACGTCTCCGCACTGCGCGCATTCGCATGCGTAAATGTTGAATTCTCCCGCCGCCGCCACCTTCCGGACTCGAGTCCGCCGCAGGGTATACGTCGGCCATGTTGTCTTTTCCTAATCCGTCCCTCACCGGAGGCGTGTCGCCGCTGGTGCGTTGCTTATCCGTCGGCGCCTTGCTGGAGGCGCACATCTAGTCGGAGCGAATTACGCCGGCGCGCAGTCGTACCGCTTATTTTGTCCTTTATGCCTCGTCCGTTGCTGCCGGCGCATATCCGCCAGCGCAACTCATGCCAGCGCATCCGGCCGTCAGCGCCACGTCGGAGGCGTACATCCGACCGGCGCTTTCCTTCCATGAACAGCCGCCAAAGGCGCTTCCGACTCTGAGTTGGTTTCCTCCTATGAGCGCGTGATTCCGCCGAAGGCGCATCGCCGAGGGCGTACGGGAATCCTTTCCGGCTGTGAACCCTAGCGCGAACGGCGCATGTCCGGCTACGAGTTTTCCGACGCTCATAACTTCTCCGTCCCTGATCCATCTCCGACACTCTTGGGCTCGTTAGAACGAGCGTCTCGAGCTCTTTCTAATGCAACTTCAACCAACTGGATCTACCGTGTATCCCGATCGTTATGAAGGTTTTCCCTTTCCGCGCTAGCGGCGCATCGCCGAAGGCGCACTCATGGTCGGACGCCTTCAGAGGTCCGGGCCCTTCTCCTGAGGTTGTCTGCGCCGGAAGCGTAGCTTCCTTATACGCTGGAGGCGCGTGAGTAGAGACACCTCAGAAAAGGAGCTTTTGCCGAAGGCGCCGAAGACATTGGCGTTGGTACATCCGACTACGTGATTCTTCGTGTCCTCGTGACGATCTCATCAATCCACTCTTTTTAACGTACCCTTTTCTAACTACAAACACTGCTTCGGTACTAGTTTTCTAAAATTGTTTAAATTCTGCAAAAAAAACAAAAAGTGTGTTACCACAAGAACTCAGGATTGGGGCTCAACAAAGGTATGCCACTAGCATCTCCACTCATGTTGCCATTGGCAATGCTAACAGAACCGCGACTTGTAACTACACCATCTGCTCCACTGGTACCCTCGATGATGCTATCACTTGCACTTCCACTAGTACTAACACCACCTTGAGTAATAGACATGTAGTTTAGAAACTAATGACGCCTCCATGCGTCAATCTCCACAGCATAGTTTCTCCAAACTCATGATAGTCATCCATGGGAGGCCCCTCAAGATGCTGAAACAACCCCTTCCTTGCAAAGAAGTGTGTAAACAACGTGGGATTACGCAAAAATTGCACATCACACCACGTATCGAACTCTTGAATGAAATCATCCAACTCAATGTTGCCCACTGCACCATAGTACCGACGTGGGCCCTTTATGGCTCCGTACATCCCGTCCATGTCCCAAATCAACGAGTTTGGGACACTAGATAATATCACCACAGAAGATCCGGTATTTGCAACACCCTGCTCCTCTGCAACAACTGATGAGATAGGTAGAGCTAGCCGATACCTCAACCCACTCCGCGTAAATCCTCCACAGTCCTCAACGGGACCACCAAACAGCTCCGTGACGACCAACTGGCACCACCGCCAAATCTCCACATGACCTCGTCTCCACACCAACCTACTCTAACCCTACTAGCTATGAGTATGGGCAACCTAACCAGTCATCATCCCAAGAAGACTCTCACGGTTCATTGGTCATCACTCCAATCTCACTGTGAGAGAAATAAAGATAGGCTGGCCGCTAATCAAGTCCAGCTGCAATATCAACGACACTCAAGAGTAAAATTACTCCAGAAACCAGCGTCAATCCATACACGGGCGCGCATCAAGAAGCAAGACTTAAGAGGATCCAAACACAAGCAAACAGATAGCAACGACTCTCTAGTCGAAAAGAAACAGAGTATTTTACGTCCTTGCCTATGCCTGATAAGTGGCGGCCCTCATACGCCACTAAACGGCGTTTGGATCTCATCGAAAAAGCCTGAATTGAATGTTCACGAATGGTAGACTGAGACTTCACTTTGTCACCTTCAGCTGCAAACATGCACTGACCTGAATAGAGTTCAGATCTTTTGACCTGAGGAAGGGCCACATTAATAACGTGACTCAAGACTGCTCAATGCTGTCGATGAATTTCGCTGCAATAACAAGCACCTCCTATAAAGCTGTTTACGGCACCAAAACATGGTAGAGCTCATAAAACTCGAATACTTAAGATTTTAGGTATGAAGGTCGTTGAGATTTTGTGTGTAAATAATTTTCATTTTCATTTTCCAGTTTGACCATATGATTGTAAAACTTAGTTTTATAAATACAAAACTGATGTTATTATGATGTTTGTACAATGTTTGAGATTGACAAATTAAACAGTGTAATATCTGCGGGACATATATATCATCATGGCACTATCAAAGTCTGGTACATATAATTCACCTCTACACTATGGGAATCTAGTCACTGTTGTCCTGTTGATTTCTTTCCTTATATGGGTTGGCAGCGTATTATGCATTTTTGTTTTTTAGTCATGTTTCCTCTCTTGAGCCAAAATCAAGTAGTGTTCCCGATGACCTTATGACAGAAACGTCTTTCCGATCCTTGATGTTTCCATGGACATTCTCACCTTCTTAGGGGCAATGTTCAGGTCCACTTGATAGGCCACAGCTTCATCCTACTTGAAGAGTGTGAGGTGGAACTCGGTGCGGTGGAATGCGGTGGAACTCACAACTAGCCACGTACACTCCAAATTTCTGCAGCTGGTTGAATGCACTATCTTCCAAGTTATTCATTGCCAAACTCCCATGTCACACTTTGTCGTGGACTTTTCGTTCAATCACTTGTTCATTCTCTCATCTTATTTATGAGAAAATATTTCTTATCTCTTCTTGTTTCTTGTTCATTTTGCACTTTCTCTATTTTGACAATTTCTATGAGCTTTTATATCTTGTACTGGGTTAAGACAAAGACTGAAGCACTTCCTTCGCATCTTGGCAAAAGATGAAGAAAGGTCTTCGCGTCTTCCTCGTCTACAACTGATCGTCGCCCTCCACCAACACCTCCCACTTTGCTTGCCCATTCCTCCTCCCCCTCCAGACCTTCGTAAAAACAGGTCGCTGTTTGTAGTGGGCCTCCCTTTGCATGACCTCAATTAAGAACACCAGACGTATTCTTCTCAAGCCATTACTCGCACCAAATTCATGTACCCATCTTCGTCATGATTTGAACCCTTAGGGTAGCTGGTCGGTGAATTCTATGAATACTGACTGGGATCGCAAATGTCTTCATCTTCTAAGTTCTTCAGGGTATAGGGCTGAAATTCTTTAGAGTATTTTAGAGTATTGTAAGCCTTCAATTTGAGTCACAAAGTGTTTAGAGCTACAATTAGAGCGATCTTATCTTCGATCAGCAACCAGGTTATAAGCCAAATTTTGGTGCACCGAGACATTGATGCTTGCAGACCACGCTGGCCGGTACTTTATCATTCAGAGACATGAAGCTGTGCATGTACAAGTCCAATCTTCCTTCTCACCTCATGCTTGATCATATATTGCAAACTTTAGACAAAAGACATTATCAATCTGGACTTTGGCTCACGTCAACAGCTGAGAATATGCTCTGCATTGATGAATCCCAAGACTCTGTTTAGGAGTGTAGTTGGAAACCACTGCCCACGGCAGTGGCAAAGGCGTAGGAGGTTCTAATATTTTTCGTGGAACTTGCTGTTGAAATCGTATCGTGGATCTAAGATCAGTATTTAAAGGAACCGAAACATGTGGATTCTTCAGCAGCACAATTTGAAACCTTTTGCTCAGGAACCTCTTGCCTTTCACATCTGTTTCATTCCATTCCATTTCATTACGCTGTTCGTGGTATAGCCCAGCTTTACTTTCTTAACTCATCCATTTCAAGATGTCTGGCTGCGGAAACTCTGCTTGTTCATGCGGCGCTGCCTGCAAATGCAGCACCGGCAACAGGTCAGAACAATCCCTGGTTTTCAAGCGAAAACTAGAGTTCTTCTTATTACAGCTGTCTGTACTTATCATGTCTGTGCTTATCACATCTGTATGTTCTATCTATAATTCGAGTATGTGACAGTAGCATATGTGGAGATTAATTCAAAGTACATAGATTAGCCCTTGAAGAGTTGCCATTTCTGCCCAATAATTTTCAATGTATATCCAAAGTTCATGAGTTCAGTATGTAATATGCTCATGTAGAGTTAAGAAATACATATGTGGTTTGAATTTTAGATGTTTCATCTTCAACTGGAACAATCATCTCTCTGTTCTTTCTAACGTCTGGTTTGTTGACTTTGCTAGCTGCTGCCCCATGAAATCCATGGACACATTCGAGAACTCCGAGATGAGAGGGTTCTTATCATCCCGTTTCCACATCTTGAATACACGTTTGCATGTGATGTTTGATTAAAATTGTGAACCTATTAATTTGTTTTTTAATGATTAGCGTTACATGACAATACTATCACCGAACAATGTTCATAGCAATGATAATTTCTCGGATTGTGGAACATTTGATAAGTATCTAATCATGTATTTGCACACTTTATTTCAGCTTTGAGGGAGCCAACGAAGGATGCAAGTGCGGTGACAAGTGCTCATGCAACCCTTGCAACTGCAAGTGAGGCAGCAGCATCAAAAATTACCACTCATGTACTTTATCTCCTTGAAGAAATTTTATTACGAAATCAGAAAATGGTTTATTCTCGACAAGAATTGAGGAGTTATCTTCGAGATGAAAGTAGTTCTATTGTAGATTTGACGAAATAAATAAAGTTGGCAGAAGCATCTGCTTGAAGTTTCTGTTCAGAGGCTGGTCTTGAAAACTTACTTCAGTGGTGAGAATGAGACAATTGGGCCTCGAAGAATCGGTTATAGTCCAGAAAATGGTGTCTGATTGGAGAGAGTCATGTAATAGCGAAAGCGCTGGCGACCACTAAGTAGTAAGTATAATTATGAGTCTGCCAATGGAGACGTAATAACAAGCAGTTAAAGTAATGCAGGTCTTGCTATACATCTTAAGTATATCTTAAGGAGCTCTGAGATTGACATCTACTCTTTGAAGTGTAGGAAACATTGCAGGTATGGCAATTTTTCAGGTTTTGAATTTCCTGTCTTGTCCTGTCATGCTTTCAATCGACATTTGACGAGTTTTTCTTCTTCTGAGATATCTGCTACTTAACCATCACAAATGCAAAAGTGTTCAACGCGTGTTGGTATAATGTCCTTGGTTAATGTGACTAACCTCGACCAGTCTACAAAATGAATCGTTTGTGCCCACTATCTTGAGCCGCGTACACTTAATTGTCCTCTGAGGACGAACATAAGGCAGAGATGGACTTGAATGGACTTCTCTTTCGCTGCCTCAAGCTCGTAGCAATAGCAACTCACCTTATTCCTGGAGACACTGTTGTCATACTCTGGTTCTTCGGGTTTCTTCAACAAAGCTTTATGCTAGTTCTTTTTATCAATGAAGATTGGAATTTTTATCATGATGGTCAAGACCGAACATTGTATAATTCTGTAAGCAACTTTCGAAAGATCCAGCAGACAACAGTTTACTTCTTATAAATCGCGCTCTCCTCAGATTCTAAGAAATGAAGGGAAACAATTTAATCGGGTTTTCCAGCTCTGGTCAGATACTAACATTGGATAGAAAGAACTGGAGTCAAAGAATGCACTTAGATCTGTAGCTTTTCTTTGGATCTTCAAATAATTTTATAACCGTGACAAAGCTCTTCTTGTTAGTTTCTTGTAATGACTGAACACCTATCTCTAGACGTAGATACTTCGAACAGTTTATTATAAATTTGAATATATAAAATTCTCAAAATAATTAAAAAACATCAAATACAAAAAGTTTGAATTGAATGTGTCTATACTTTACTTTTTCTATAGGTTATTTTGATAAGGTAATATTTTTTATAATAATAATAATAATAATAATAAAGTATATTTGTTTTGTGTCTGTCAAATTTGCATGTAGTCTCACATGTATGCTTTGATTACATAAGCAGTAATTTCATGCATATGTGATCAATGAATTAAAGGCTAGAATTCATGTGAATTTTAACCTATTGTGATACACCGTTATTATTGTGATATATAATTTTTTTAGGAAAAAATTTCTAAGTTTTTTCCTCTATAAACATCAACTCTTGATACACATATTGTTATGCGTGAATATTTTTCTTTTGTTTAGATCTAAGTTTTTGTGCAGGAAAATCAATCAAAAGATTTTAAACTTTTATTTTTAAATTTTTTTTTCTACATCAATCATAATCATCAATAAAATATCGATTACTTATCACCTATCAATAAATTTGAACTGCAATTTTAACAATTTTATATATAAAATTTTAGACTTTCATCACTTTAAGTGAAATTTAAGTATTTTCTTATCATATGTTTCAAATAAGAGCTATACTTGAATGATTTTTAACAACACAAATGTGCATGATAAGCATAAAACATAATTTTAAGCAAGAAAAAATAAACTTCAAAAACTATTTTCATAGAGCTGAAATTTAATTTGTGTTATAAAAATATTAGACTTACATGTATATTTTCAAATGAAATTTTTAATTTTAAATTAAAATATGAATTCTTTTATGAAATGAAATTGCATCAAATACAGATTTTTAATCAATAAAATTATACTTTTTTAATATTTTTTGTAAATATATTGATGCATGAAGATAAGGTAATTTTTTATTAGATCTTATAGAGGTAACTCTACAATCTCCCACTTGACTCATGTTAAGGAATCTCAGTCAATTCTCTAATCTATACTATTACTCTCATTATATGATAAAGTATTAACATGCAAAGGTAACGTTAAAATCTCATCCGTAACTCATGTTAAGTATTTTCAATCATCTCTCTAACTTATATTATTATTTTTATTACAGAATAGAATAATAACATATAGAGTTAACTCAACAATCCCATCTTAACTTATTTTAAGGAATTTCAATAAACTCTCTAATCTATATTATTACATCAATATCATGAGAGAATAATAACATCCAGAAATAACTCTACACATTCATTTGTAATGTATAATGTCACAATTTTTTTTTAAAAAAAAGATTATTGTGCATGTTGAAATTTTTTTTAAATAAAACCTCATATTTTTTATTAAGATCATATAAAGTTTTTACACAAATATGTAACACTATCAATGATAAAAAATTCTGTAAAAAAATTTAGTCGGTATACTAATTTATGTTTTTTTCACATCGTCAATTGAAAAAAGAATTCATGTGTCTTGAGTTCAAATAATGTAATCATTTTTACCTTAGAGAAAAGCATTAAAAAATATAGTTATTCTTATATCACGTTGATACGTGGAAAAATATTCATCATTATGTGATGTGTGTGTCATTTTTTATAACTTCACATGAATCAACTTAAATTTAAAATTTTATCAACAAGTAGACTGTTTTTTGCATTATTCATAAATATTTTCTTTTTCGATGTTTCTTCTATTTCATCAAAAATTCAATATATTTTTCAATAACGTTATTTTTATTGATCCACTTGTGAACGTTTTTAGTTATATAATATTCATATAAGTTAACATTCTAAATTCATAAAAACTAGTTTAATAATACCAATTGATATTAATTTATTTTTTATTTAAGAAAAATTTTACAAATTAGAAGAAATGAATAGATTAAAAATTTAAAAATATTAAAAGATATTAATCTTTAAAAAAATTTGGAGCATTTTATCTAGTTTTTGCAATTTATTAGGATGTATTGCACATAGATTATTTATTTAAATCAAAAATGAGTTTAGAATATATATGATGTAAAGTATTTCAATATTGCTTATTGATCTGCATGCTTTATTTTGAAATTGAAAATTTTTTAACTTTTTTGTATCTCGCTTAAATATCTTTAATAAGCATATGAAGAACATTTTTCAAATCATCATCTGCTAATCAACTTTTTAGTATGTGATTAGAATGTCTACATGGAGATATATATATCTGTCAAATTTATTATACTTTAGGCTATTTGATGCTTATTGATGCGAGAAATGACATTTTTAACTTTTTAGTATCTTGGCAATCTTGGGATTTTTGTTTTAATTTGTTGTGTGTTTGAAATGTTTTGAAATATATGTAGGGGTCCTAAATAACGATTATGACAACCATGACAGAGATTTTTACATGTAATGAGTGACATTGTAGTATAAGAACTTATGTCAGATTTTGGTCAACTATAGTTAAGTTATCCACGGTTAATCGGACTAATTAGTCTAGACTAGTTGGAGCTATGTGTAACAAAATTGGAGAATTATTTGAAAATTCTTGTGTTTTTAAATGAAGGGAGATTCATTGAGGTGATCCACCTAATTTTTCTGTTGAATGCTATGGAGCGGGATCAATGTGTATGAAGAGAAGATGTTAACAAAAATATACAACATGAGGTTACATACTTTATCCACACATGGAGGATATTGCTCGATGGGACCACATAGTAGAACAATTTATTTATTGGGACCCATCAAGTTTCATTTTATTCAATGGGATCCCAACGACGACCATATCACCCATATTCTTCTATTGGTCCGACGGTGACAATGAGAACGACGGAGCAGCAACTTGCAGAGTAAGAAGAAACTTGAACGAAGCTCGCGGATCAAAGAACCTTTCGTTTTCGTTAAACCTTATGAAAGTTGACCTTCAACCTTCAAGTATTCATTCAGAAATCAGATTTGTGCAGTTTCTATTGAAAATAAACAAATCAGGAATACCAGTTATTCATTTTTTTTATCTTTCAGATTCTGAATTCCGCGACTGAAATTGTGATGTCGTTGTCCTCGATCAAATCGAGTAGCTGGCTGGCCACTTGGCTCCTGGGTATTAATATGGAAAGTATGACCAATATTTGGTACGAGGGAAGGGCTTGTACAAGCAAACAAAATATGTTCGTGGTGTGGAGAGACCTTCTCAGAAGCCTTTCTGCAAGCTGGCAATTATAAACCACAAGTTCACAGTCATCTCTTTCGACAGAAACGCAGCACACGGATCACCATGGCACAAATCATGTGGGAATTTCCGAGAAAGGAGCCACAATGCGATTCATACGCATAGGTTCTCGAGCCATTACACGCTCCAATTTTAGCTCTTGTGGCTGTAGAGAAGTTTCAAGATTCGGCTTCTGTAGCCTCGTACTTCGCCAACTCTCTCGCTCCCCATCACAACGAATGATGGCCGTCGACCTCGTGCACGAAATTATAGTTCGTCACACAACGAGCCGTGCCAGCCTGCTCGGCTCGGGTCGGCTCAGCGCCAAACGACCCAACGCAGTACACGGCAGTAGGAACACTTACCGTACCCCAAAGAAGCCGAACCACGCACGACCACAACCAGTCTCACAAGAACTGTTCCCCAAAGACATCAAACTACGTCCGACCACGACCAGTCTCAGTAAAACTCTACTCGAAAGACAACGAACCACGTCTTAACCTGACCACGATCAGTGTCAGGGCTCTATCACAAGGACACCAAATTACGTCCGATCAAGACCACGACCAGTCACAGAAGAACTATAGTCCAAGGACACCGAACTCCGTCTGATCACAACCGTACCCAAAGAAGCCGAACCATGCATGACCACGACCACGACCAGTCTCAGAAGAACTCTACGCCAAAGACACCGAACTACGTCCGCCACGATCACGACCAGTCAACACTCGTCCTTCAACAGGGAAGGCCGTGAGAGCAAGCTTAGAGTACCACGCGACGTACAAGGTCGGACACCTCCAGCTCCAGTCGCCCGAGCACGAACCCTTCGCTTTCAGCGGAGGCCGAACTCGACTGTACTGCGACCACCGTCCTCTGCGGTTCTGTACCTGCGAGTACGGACAACGGTGTTATGAGGTACCTTTGTGAGGACCACGAGCTCGGCCTCATGCGCATGCAAATCTCGGCCGCTCGAGAAAATCCTCTCAGCCCGTCGAATCGGAGGTTCAGAACCAGAGCCCGAGCTCTGAAGTTCCCATGAAGTCGAAGGTCGAGACCGGAATGACAGTGACAGTGACAATGTGACCAGTCATGGCGGTCATCGTCCTCGTTTTCTGAGCCTTCTGAGGCTTTGACCTGTAACATCGAGCCGAGCCTCGAGGCCGTCGCGGGGTTCAACTCCCGTTCCCGACCGGAGCCATCATTGCCCGCTACGACCAAGATGATAACCCCCGCCGGTCACCGTACCCCGTTGCGAGGGTCGGGGGGCAGCGCCGGGCTTCAACGTTCCGATCATCCACCGATCCGCAGTTACGAGCCGGGTCGGGTCGGGGAGGCAGGCAACGGCTCAACGTACCCAAAGCCGGGAGGTGGGGGAAGGGGGGGGCGCTATATAACGAACTGCGGAGCACGGGGAACAGGACGAGGTCGACTTCGAACTACCCAGTAAGGTCCCCAGGCCGGACTGCCACCGGTAAGAAGAAACGGTCACATGGCGACGAGGTCGACGCCGTCGTCGTGCTCGAAGGTCGCGTTTCGCGGGGTTCGAGTTTCGGGGCCGTAACGGAGTCAAACTGCACGGGCCGCGACCCGAGCCCAAGATCGGCCAGCGGGGCGGACGGGCGGACGGTGCCCCGGCGGGCTGGAGGCAGGGCGGGCGAACTTCACCGAGTTCGTGAACGAGGTGAGGCGGGGGAACGCGGTGGCGATGGCGCGGGGCCAGGCAGGGCACCGGGTGGGGTCTCCCGCCCTTCACTCTAAGTCGACTTTGTTCTACTTTACTTTACTTTACTTACTTCCCTTGCTGAGCTGAGCTCTCCTGTCGTATCTCGTGTCCTGCACGCTCTTCACGCCCACCGAGAGAGAGACGGGGCTGGCTCGAGGTGCTTAGAGCCCCGGTCTCCTCTCCTCCCTGTCCGTCGTCCCCCGTCCACGTGCCTAGATCTTTGCCTGGACTTCAGTCGAGGCCAGGCCAGGCCAGCTCCGGACTTCGGGGGCGGCCGGCCGCTCGGCGGGTCACCCGAGCCGAGCCGAGCCGAGCCGAGCCGAGTGGGATGGGAAGGGGGCTCGCGGGGTCCAGCAGCAGCAATGGGGAGGGGAGGGTCAAGGGAGCAGGGACCGTTGGTGGGCCTGGCGGCAATGCCGAAGCAGATCGCTCGCTTGCTAGCACAAGTTTACAAAACATCAGCGTTTCGTCTTTGGGCAGCATTCTCTTGCTCGCTGGTCGTCGGGCGGAGAGTGGGTGTAGGCCTCTACGGGCTGAACCCATCTGCATTAAATTCCACTGCTGCCTTCTCCGCTGTTCCTAATTCTTCTTCTTCTTCTTCTCTGGGCATTCTCTCTCCTCTTGGCCTATCCAACCAACCAGCCTTCCATCGACCTCCGCCACCACCCTCTCTCTTCCTCCCGAGGCTTTACCTTTCAGTAGATTCATCCCGGCAGCAGCAGCAGCAGCGGCTGCAGCAGCTGCTGCCGCTTTGCTGCCTGCTTCAGCACCTTCTTCATCTTCATCTTGTGCTGCTGCATGCTGCATTGTGAGCATTCTAGCTAGCTTGTAGCCTTTCCGGACGTGCATGCTGGTGGGCATCTCGCTCGCGACCGAATTGCCAGGAAGCTGAGATCGCTGCCGGGCACAGTCGGTGCACGGGTGGACGTTTCTCTTGTCAAGCTGTTACAGTAACTGCCAGACGCAGCAAATTTGCAGACACGATCGTCTAGTTAGCGATAAGATCGGTCGTCGATCAGAATGATTGTGCAGGTAAAGTGTCTTACTCTCGAGCCATCTATCTATCTATGGATGGATCCTTGTACTGATGCTTGAGTCTCCGGAACCCGAATATTCATTCGTCCAGCCCACTGCAGCCCCCCGCCCCGCCCCGCCCCACCCCCAGCCCACGACAACATTGACGTTGACATTGTGCTGGAGAGGTTTCCGTCTGTAGAATGAAATGTACTAGCTCGAGTCGTGCAGATTTCAGAACGGACCCGTGCTGAATTGCACTAGCTCTATGAGCTTTCGTCGGCTCGCTTGTCTACCTCCAGCTATGGGAATTTGAGGCCTTGGCAATTCGGGAGCTCGCTCCGTATCATGCCTTTGAGGCTGCCGCTCTGTGTGTTCCCGATCGGACGAGATGGTGCAAGTGAGAAACAAGGTTTGACACTGCGGAACTCGGGGGGGGGGGGGGGGGGGGGGGGAGAGAGAGAGAGAGAGAGAGAGAGAGAGGACGAGCTTCTTTTTTTCCTAGTCTTACAGGATTCATGCATAAAATCGTCGGCCGTGGGTTCGGGGAGGCGATCACGTGGTCCTGCGGACTTTGTCACAGGGATGGAGGGAGGGAGGGAATGGATGTTCTCCGTGATGTACAAAGGAGCTCACGAAATTGGCGAACGTCGAGAGAGAATTGTCACATTGACGCTCTCTCTGTCGCCATTCCCGATTCTCATTTGCATGTGGCCCCAGCCACGTTACAAGGAGGAGGAGAAGCTCGTCTTGCGCGTTCTGAATTCTTTCCTCGTTGTCCACCTCGTGATGGCAACCCATGCATTCCTGCTGGGCCAGCAATTTCCTTTCGCCGTCACCATGCCCCACCCCGCAACGTTCTCTCCCGGGGGTCAGCGGCTCGTCATCTTCGAGGGCATAAGGACATCGTTAACCGATCGGGCCGGATGATCGACGAGACGCAGTCTCCGATCAGCGCACGTATGCTCTGAACGAATCGAACAGAAGCCGAATCGATGCGATTCCAGGAACGCGCGTGTGCCGAATGTTCAGCTGTGTAGGATCAGTAGCTGCAGTATTGAATGCGCTAGCTGAGCTAGGCTAGGCTAGGCTGGGCTGGGCTGGGCCCGAGGTGTGAAGGTCCGAGTTCTAACGACTTGTGTTCGTCGATTCGGTGGTGCGTGCATGCAGGAGGCTGGCATGGCCGTGGGCTGGCCCTTGGGCCTGGGCCACGATACGACCGGATGGCCGCTGGGTCTCAGGCTCCGCCTCACTCAGGAAGACTTGCAATGGCCCCGAGAACCCCATCTCGACGACTCCCCGAGTTACAGCACGAATTCTTCGAGCCTCGACACTGAGGTAACATCCTCCGCCTCCCCCATCCCCATCGCCATCCTCCCAGCCCTCTCTCGAGCACTCGTGCTCGATCGAATTGCTCGTGTACATGAGCGCGTGATCTTCGTCTCGGCGAATCGATAATCGTAAGTCGAATTGGGGTCGGGGAGGGGTCGGGCAGGCGCAATTGAGGCGATGGGATTCTGAGAAGGGGTGGAATTGTGGTGCATGTGCAGTCGACGAGGTCGTTTTTCCAGGACAAGAGCATCAGCCTGGGTGCGCTGATCGGGCTGCCCATCAACCAGTTCGCTGCTGCGAGCAACGGCGCCAACCACAACCACAACCACAGTCACGGTCACAGTCAGCAGGCGCAGCGGAGGGCGCGAAACGGCAACAACATGCTGCGCGTGTTCCCGGCCAGCACGAGCTCGGGGTCGCGATGCGGCAGCGAGCACGGGCACAAGTCGCGCTCGAGCCACGGGTCGAATCGACCGCAGCAAGCATCGAAGGGCGCGGCCTCGGCCGCCTGGGCGCTGCTGTCCGTGCTCAGCTGCGCCCGCGTCCCGTCCGGCGCTACGGAGGCGACAGCGGCCACCGGCGGGAGCAGATCGTCGAAGTCGTCGTCGGCAGCGTCGTCGGTGTCGTCGCGGTTCCGATCGTCGGAGCACTCTACGTCGAATCCGCCGGCGGCGGCGGAGACTGCCCGGCCGGGCGCGGGAGGAGGCGCCGGGGCGCAATTCGCCTGCAGGACCTCGCCGGCGAACAAGCTCTACGACAACATCACGTTCGAGGAGGAGGCGGCGGACCACGACGAGTCGCACTCGTCGGAATGGAACCCGCTGTTCGCCTCGTCGTCGCTGGAGAACGTGGAGGACGAGGACGACCTGGACCGCGACGCCGCCGTGCCCGAATCGCTGCAGCACATGCAGTCGCTCATGCGCAGCCACTCCTCGTACTCGGACTCGACGCAGGCCAGTGACTGGTCCAGCGCCAGCGAGTCCTGCGACCTGCGCCACTCCAAGCCCTCGCCCCTCGCGCGCCACGACCTCTCGTCGCAGTTCGGCAAGCACTCGGCCCTCCACATGCTCATCTCCCGCATGGTCTGCTGCCGCAGCACCCCCACCGTCGACACCTGACTTCCCCCCCCCCCTCCGCCCTCGTAGTTAGATCTCTCCCTCCCTCCCTCCTTCCCTCGATCCATCGATCCCTCCCTCCCCTCCCACTCCCTCCCTCCACGCTCGAATCGACTCGGAGCTCGTGACGAGAGAAGGACGAGGATCCGATTCTTGCAAGCAAATTCTTGTTTTGTTCAGTTTTAGACAGGGCTGCGATGGAGGACGAGGCCGAACTCCACTCATCGCAAGCGGGAGCTTCGTGCATGCCTTCGTGGGCAGCCGGTTCGGTTCGTCGGAACATCTTTACCGCTTGTGGCTAGCTAGTTACGTAAGAATTGAGGATGCGAGAGTGTTTCTACCCCAATGTAAATTAAAGCGATGTCGTCCGGTCGCTGGTTCGGTCGGAACTTGTGATTGTTTGCGTTCTGGCGTACGTACGTACTGCAAGGGACCGGACTTTGATCCTACCGCGCACGCACGAGCTCATCGACCGGCGCCCACTCGTCGATCCTGCGCACTGTCACCTTCCTGTTCTTGTTTCGAAGGCGAGGGGCGGAGGGAGGGCGTGTGGTGCCACCGGTGATGCGTTCGTGCGTGCGTGCCTGCGCTGGAATACAGTGCGAAAAATTTGCAGACATGATTCCTCTTTTGGCACCGAGGAAAGCTTCTTCGAATGTTCTCGGGATGTGCTGTGAGAGCACTCACGGTACCCAATTTCTGATACGGTCTCAGGGGAATCTCGACGAGGTGCCAACAGAGATGGTGGTCCTTTCGAGGGAGGAATCGACGAGGGCGAGCGAGGACGAGGAGCGGGTGGGTGAACTTTGAGTCTCTTTATTCTCTCCACGGAACATGGAAAGGAGACAAATCATCGATCCTTAACCTGCTGCTTGGTTCCCTGCTTCACTCGAGCCGTCCTCCGTCGGTGCCGTCGGAGTCCATCAATCGATCGTAGAGTCAGGCTTGATTGGCTAGCTAGCTTGCAGATAAGAAATCTGGCCTGTGCGCACATTATCGGTTGAGTCCTCGGTCGTCCCGATGAAGCTTCTTCATCATGCAGGAAGCGGAAGCGGAAGCGGAAGCAGAAGCAGAAGCAGATCATCACAAATCCTACTACGACGAAGTTTGACGGCGAGAACCAGCCACAAGACGAAGGACAAAAAGCTCGTAGGAATATGATTCGTTCGTATGAGTTCCACTCACTCCTTGGATCGATGGATCATCGCTCATGGGAAGTAATCAGTGACCGGGTTCTTGAATAATTCAGTTACAGCTGAGCTCTCAACAGCAGCCCTGCCCTCCGCTCCCTCGTGGGCGGAGGGAGGGTTTACCAGCGTCGTGTAGTAATTGATCGGTGGCGGGGTTCTTGGAAACTTTGTCTCAGACTCCAAACGACAAATTCTGAAGAGGCTTCCGATTGACAGACGGACAGACAGCGTTTGTGCACAGCAGAGCACAGAGAGCACTTGCCTAGCCTTGCCTTGCCTTGCGCTGCCTTGTCGTGCCTGGCATGAATGAATGAAGCACAACAGACCAAGGGCTCGTTATATTTTGGAGCGGCCGGATCTCGTGAGGTGATTCTCTGGTGTGTGCGTGGGAGTCACGAGCGCGCACGCACTTGTTGTGATATTACGCTATTACGAAAACCGAAATGTATAAAGTTTTTGAAACGACCCATGAAAGTTGCTTGGGTCGATGATCTTGATCATTCATGACTCCTGTGCCCTGCCTGACTCCGTGCATCATCTCTCTCCCTCTCCTCTCCCGGTCGTCCACCTGTTCTCCAGTGCCACATGCCTCGTTGAATTTTGTCATCATTTCCCTCCACGCTTTCGATTTCTCTCGAGACTGTCTCAAACACAAACTCACGCACTCTCTCCACACACTCGGCTGTGTATATGCTTCATCGTTATATGGTCGGTCGTTATTGAGGCCGTGGTCGTTATTGCAGTTACTTACGCCTCATCTCGCTGACATTGATGCTTTCAGTGCCGGTTGTTATCGCAAACGTCTTAAATGCTAGCGTTAAACGAACATGTTGGCAGTGATTGTGAAGTCGGTCACTCGTTCTCGTGATTTACATAAATCCTTCGACAGGTTCAGCGACCTGCTCTGCAGCTGCTGCTGCTTTTCATTCAGCCGTCGTGATTCTGGTGACAGGCTGGGTCGATCGATGGTACGAGTCTCTTCTCTAGAGATATGTCGATGATTGTCATCCGCCATGCACGTCCATCCGACCGGGCCGGAAGTCGGACCTCGCTGGGCTCGTGCATGTCCCCAAGTTTCCCCTCGCTCACTGATCGTCGTCAGCTCTACAACACGCGGAGGAGATTCCTGCTGTCGATGGCAACTGACGTCAGCCAGCCCAGTCCAGATTGAGATACCTTTCACGTGGGCTCTGCTCAGAATCCATGCATGCCATAAATACGAGGCAAGCGCTTCAGCTGCTGTACTACGGGACCGGACCTCATCGGCCATCACTTCCAGAGAACAGAATGCAAAGGGCAACGCATCGGACTAGAAGATCTAATCGCCGCGCCAAGTCGGGGAAGCCCACAATCGCTTCTACAGAATCGAATAACAATGCAAACGAGTGGAAGAATAATTGCTAGTAAAAAAAGTAAAGTCACCAATCTCCTGGTCAACCTATACCTCCTCCCGACTTACTAAACGTGAATCAGAGGAAAAGGGAGAGGCTTGAACAATTGTAAAGAAAAATTAATGACAAAAATATGTTTCAAAAGATGGTGACAAGCAACACCTCTTTAAGACTCCAGGAATATATTTATGTGTATAAAAGACTACACTAAGAAAGTGCGGTGTACATGATGAATTTTTCCTATGCTCCTATATAATATATATTGCATGTAACAAGCATAATATGCCACAGAAATCTTGACGTCTACGTAAGTTATACATGTGATCGTACTGCTAATAAGGGTCCCCAGCAGCCACCAAGAATCATCTATGACTGGATCTCGCCCGAGGTAAGTGCAATTAAGGATGCAAGGAAACTCGTGGGTCTCCTTTTCCGTTTCTTGCTTTCAGTCCTCGGATCCGAGGAGCCGATACGTGGCCTTGCCAGTGTAGATTCTGTGCATGGACCTCGACCTCGACCTCTGCTTGCCACTGCACCTCGAAGCGTTCTTCGGACTTCGTCCTCCTCCTTTTCTGATGGGTAGAAACTCGCTCGATGGACGTGCATGGCGGCCGGGGCCGAGGCCGAGGCCCCAGGCTGATGGAAACGCGTTTGGTTTGGTTTGGTGTGGTTCGGTGGGGGGTGGAGTGGAGTGGCAATGCGGCAAATCACAGCCATTTGCAGCGTCAAGGATTTGTCGTTCGAGTCCTTCACAGCACGCTGTCGTATCATGACGTCGGCTCACCATGTGACTTTTTTAATCTCATCCGGATGGATGCACACATTTCACGAAAGATCTCGGGTCAATGGAACGCTGTGCGGGATCGTGATGCTTCTGCCCCTCTCGCAAGCGTCGCCAGGCGAGCCAGACGAAGGAGCAAGCGGCATCAATGGCTAGCACTGCTGCTGCTTCTGCTGCAGGTTTTTGGTGCGCATGGTTGTCTATGTTGTTGATTCCAGATCCAGTTCATCACGCGGGACATGATAGCGCCTTCCGTGCACGAAAACCAGCTCTTTCCCTTCTCTTCACGCCCCTGTCCTGATCATCACAAGCACACTTGATTCTGATTGCGATTCGTCTACTCTGAGCACTGATCTGATCCGACCTTCATGCTCAGTGGTCCCAATTCACAATACAATACATTGTCGACTGAAGAGACAAACCTTTTCCGGCCATGAAACAGTCCCTGTACCAGGCCAGATTTATGTGCAACATCGATCGTGCTCTTTTACTCTCTTGCTCTGCAGCGGATTTTACTCAACACGTACACCAAAGGCTGAAAGTTATACAATCCCATCGTTGTCGCAAGCCTCCTGTTGAGATTCGTCTGAGAACTCTAATATTAACGATATTTTGTTCCCTGACCAACAGCAGACTGCAGATGTTGAAGCTTTTCAAGTTCAGCTCGGGATTTTGCTTCTCTATGGACTCTGCTTTGCATACACTGCGAACCGTCATATTATAAGTTCAACCTTGCTCTAGTCACATTTCTTGTAAGAGTAAAGAGGCTAGTTATAACGATTTGTGAGAATATATTATTATTAATCTTATTTGAAAAAAATTCAGAAACGGTTAATAAACAATTGATAAGTAAACTTGTTTTTTATCCCAGTGCACAATCGAGTCTTCTTCATCTTGAAAATAACCCGTTGAAGAGTTATCTAATTCAATCTGGAAAAAAAAACTGCCCATCAAGAGCAATGCACATACTCTCCTTTAGTCTCATCTCCGAATTGATCCTACTTTTTGTATCGTTTTACTTCTCCAATTCATTTGTAGTATATGCTCCCTAGCTTATTATAACTCTCTCATTTTTTTCCCAGTAGTACATGGTATGTCTTAGTTTTTTTTACAATTTGGCAAGACATAGCTACTTTTATTAAAATTTCATTTCAATTTCAAATTTTAAAAATTATCAATTTAAATAACACAATACTTTTGTAATACAGCAAGCTAAAATGAAACAAAATGTTGATTTCAACTAGTTAGAATACATAAGTTGTTAGCAAATATTATATATTTGAGTGAAATATTATACATCATAGATATGAATGTAACAAAAACTTTGAAGTTGTTAGAACAAAATTTGAAATATCAAATATGAAAAAAATTAATAATAAGCATATTATATACATAGAAAAAAATGAAACAGTTGCAATTACTCAATATATTTTAAAACTTATGAAAACATAAATTAAGAATCATTCAAAAATGTTTGGAATCCAACAATTACTACACCAATAGAATTGGAAAAATCTTCAATGTAGAGAAGATTATGCACTAGCATAAGAACTAGCATCAAGATTTGGAGTTTGAACAATCATTGATTTCAAATTTTGCAATAACAATATGCAAAATATGGAATGAATCAAGTACCAAGAGTTTGTGATACTCGTCAATTTTATGCATGCATGAAGATAAATCACATTGTTAAATTTTGCCAAACTAAACCAATATCATAAGGAAGATATTCAATGTAGTGACAAACTTTGAACAACAATAGCTAGAAGAAACAACATTACAAAGAAGCTAATGAAGTAACTTTGATAAATAAAGATTATCAGTAAACTTACATCGAGTCTTTATGAAGTGAAGAAAAATCAAAATTGGAAAAATACATTAATTGAAAAGTCATGGATAGAAAAAAAATAATTAACTTTCGTCACTAATGGAAGAACAAAAGATGAGATTTTTTATTGATCTTGGAACAAAAAAAAACTAGTTGTCACGAAATGTTACAATGAAGTTAGGTATCATGTTAAGTTGGGAGTTTTGATTGATTTTAGAGCAACAAAAAACTAGTTGTCACAAAATGTTGCAATGAAGTTAGGTCTCATGTTAAGTTGGAAGTTTTGATTGATTTTAGAGCAACAAAAAACTAGTTGTCACAAAATGTTGCAATGAAGTTAGGTATCATGTTAAATTGGGAGTTTTAATTGATTTTAGAGCAACAAAAACCTAGTTGTCACAAAATGTTGCAATGAACTTAAGTATCACGTTGATGAAAGATGTAAATGAAAAAATCAAATTTTCAAACACACAAACTGAAACAATATAAAAACTTTCACAAAGTGTACAAATATATATAACTGTATAAAAAAAGTAGATTGAATGGAGAATAATTTATTTAGCTGGACGTTATATCAAACTTTAAAATGTTATGAATGGAACAATATAATCCAGAGATAAATTGAAGAAAGAAATGACAAAAAATAGTCGTTGAAACATTAGAGAAAAAAATTAGACTTAAAAAAAATATCTCTTTAAAGATGATTTATATTTATTGGAATTTATTAGACATACTGTTGAATCTAAGGACAAATTTTACATCCAGATTTACTTTTATAACATTTTTATGGAGTACAAAGATGTTTTTTCAAATAATTAATTTTTTTTTAAATGACCACCAAAGAGTCGTATAGATCACAAGATTGAAATAATACTTGGAAGCACATCAATTTGCAAAATTTCATATTTTTAGTTCCAAACAAATAAAAAAATGCAAAACTTGAGCGGAGAAAATGTTGAGAAAACTTATTTAATCAATTTTTCCACCCCATAAATTTCTAGTGTTATTTGTGAAAAAAGACAAAAACATGTGATTATGCATTGATTATCATGAATAGAATCAATAAACGGTGAAAAAAAAAGTAGCCATTAACTCATATGGATGAATTGTTTGAATAATTTCAAGCAACACAATACTTCACTAAATTAGATCTAAGAAGCAACTACAGCAGTTTTTTTGTTTTTTCGGAAATAAGGTAGTTAGGAAGTAAAATATAAGCAAGTTTTAACTTTTGAAATAGTAGTAGTTAGAAGAGAAGAGAATAAGAACTTTAAGTATAGATGCTAAGTAGGAGTATGACATACGAAGGATCGCCCTAGGCAGAGCTTGGCCTGTTGAGGCTGATGAGGTCCAAAGTCGAAGGAACGGATGAGTGGAAATTGAGCTACGAAAGGAAGGGGCGAAGACCCAGCTTCTCCAAAAACTTAGATTAGCCTTCGGAAAAGGGTATTCGGTATTCGACGGAGATGACTTCAAAGTTACCTACGAAGTTCTTCTGGAGAAGGA